AAATATTTTAATATCAATATAAAGTATAACTATAAAATGCATTAATATCCAAATCAATAAAAACATAATAATAGGTAAAAATTATAAACAAATTCTTTTACTCCTTACATTTGTAAAAATTGAAAAGTTTTGAAAATTCTTCTTAGTTGCATCACTATAAGCACCAAAAGCAATAAAAAATAATTTCAAATTTCTAATATAATATAAATAATTCTTGAAGATTAAAATTAATTTTTTTTCTAATGCACTAATAATTTAATCATATTTTCTAAATCCTATTAAAAGTGAATAACATTTAACATGAATATTACTAAAATTGATTAAAAGCATTCATAATTAAAATTTAAAACTTCTAAACCAAATATCCAAAAATAGTAGAATATTAAAACAAATTTTATTATATAGTTTTAAAACTTTTAGAATGATACTTATTTAAAATTTAGTTAGGAGAATCATAAAATTATTTTAAAAATAAATTAGAAATTTAGGGTTTTAAGAATAAAGGTACAAACCAGTTCTAAGATGATAAAGTTACAGTTGAATTAGAAATTTAGAATTAAGGTTAGAGTGCATGATTAAAATGGAGAAATAACTTAAGAAATATAGAGATGTTCTATTTTTATTTTTTTAATTAAGTTAATGGGGTTATAATCTTGTAAAATAAGAAAAAGAAAATTTAAAATACTACAAAAAATATGTTATATTATTTAATTAAATTATCTTTTAATAAGATTTTATTTTATAATCGGGCAGTTTGAACGGTTTAAAAGTAAAATCACGAACCAAACTAATTATATCGGTTTTAAAATTTTAAAATTCAAACCAATCCAATTTTATATCGGTTTGGATCGATTTTTTATTGGATTGGATCAGTTTAGGTCGAATCAATCGGATTGGATCGGATATGAACACCAGGCGTTTGATACCAAAATGACACAAAGAAAACATTTAGGACCAAACTGTTACTCTCCTATCCTGTAAAGCATCCGAATTTCTTGATAAATTTCTCAAGTTGAAGAAAGTTACTAAATTCTGCAGTTCTGCTTCCCTCTGACTGTTACAGAGGCTAAGTTCTTTCAAAATTCAAACTGAAAAGATATGCAATGCGTATACAAACCTTGCATCCCGTCTACTCCTTATCCTCCACAACTTAGATTACCAAATTCAAATCCCAATCTTTCAATCCCCAAAACCCAAACCCAAACCCAAATCCCAAGCAAGTTTCTTGACAACACTATTCAGGACAACGATATCAACGATGCTTCTTCCGGGTCTGGGCTTGCAAAACTTCCTTTACCATCCCATGTTAAATCCATTACAAGCACTTCAAACCCATTTGTGAAGCACTGCCTCAAGCTAAGAAACAGTTCCTCTTACCGTCACGCTCATGGTTCCGCTCTGGTTGTGGGTTCTACTCCTATCAGGTACTTCGTATTCAAATTTCTAACTTTCTTCTAGTTTTTGGGAGCTTTCGTGTTATTGGGTTAAATGCAGAGATAGTCCAATGTTTTGTAGTCTAGACTATACAGCTCCCAATTGCAAAACATGAAAACTGATGACCCTTTTACAGGGACATGCCCCATCTGATGGTTTTATGTTGTACCGTTCAATCACTTGTTTGATATAGTGAGCTATGAATATCTTTTGCAGGGAAATATTCAGGTATCAAGAATCACTGCAAGAGAAAACTGCTAGAATAGATTGTTTACTGTTGCTTGACAAAGCTGAGATTCCTGATGGACTTGATAATTACTCTAATAGGATTGTGAGGATAAACACTTTGATAATGAAAAAACTTTCTGGGGTGCAATCAACTGAATCTATAGAAGCAATTGCCTTAATGAGGATGCCTACCACTTTCCTAAATTTGGATGTTGATCAAGGAGAGTTAGATTGCAGAAGTTGGTTTGGATCTCCACACCGAGTTCTAGTTCTTGATGGCATTCAGGTGATTTTGACGCTTGAGAAAGCAGTTTCCAACTCTTTTTTCATGCTCATTGCAATCTTTTCTTGTGACATGAAATTGTGGCATTAAATAGCAGCACAATTCCTCAGCATTTTTAAGAAAGAAAAAACAGTTATAGGTGCTTGCCCTTCTTTTTGTCCTATGAATCTTAATAAATTTTATTTAAAGAGAATTCTGGTTAGAAAGCATTCTCAAAGTTTTGCTATTATGCATAACTGTTAATATTCATGAGGTTAAAACTGCAGGTGTTTCATTTGATGAATCTTCTTGACTAATTCATTAGAGTTGCTCATGCAGGACCCAGGTAACCTTGGTACTTTACTCAGATCAGCAGTGGCCTTTAGATGGGTAAGGAATGAATTGAAACCTGAAAATCTCTTTTTTCACTTTCTGTTTGCTATTCCTTTTTTACAGTTTTTCTCTGCTTGTATGTGATTGAGCACATGCTGTTACATGAAATGCTTATTAGAAATTTCTGAATGAATTTTAATAGCATTTTTTAGCTGTCTGTTGAAACTTGAAAGCATTCATCAGCTTGAATGGTTTAACTGTCATGAATCTACCCATTAACAACCTCCATACAGCATAGTCTCTCAAGTTGCACACATGAGACACCCAAATTACAGCTGGTACGCCAATCAGTTTTAAGAGCCAACAATCAAATATGTTTATTCCTAATAAT